AATCCGCCACACAATTAACTGAGCCACCAACTTAGCAGAATAAACTTACAAATGTTGGAGTTGGAATAGCTAGGTTTAGACCTTGTGGCAACTAATCTAAAAATTGTGGTTGAAATACAGTGTTGCCAACACGACTAGTCGGAACTCTACGGAAAGGTTTCAAAAATTCCCCACAATTCCCCGGATATATCAATTCATACCCCCGGAAAATTCCCGGAATTATTTAAGTATATCATTCTTTTAATCTGTTACAGTACCAACAGAATATAAGTAGAAAAAATTATTGTATTTACTGTCATAGATATGAAATGCCAACTTTTAATGTCATATCTGTCTGTAACAGCAAGTTGTGACATTGGTTTTTGATGGCTTAATCTTAAGGAATTTGATTGTTTCCAGGATATAGAGACATGGAATCGTTTGATTCTATTTGATATGAAGAAAGGTTTGGGGTTTCCCTGGTGTTGGAATGATTTCTATAGTTCCTATAGTATTTTTCTGTAATGAAAGAATTTTTTGATTTGGTGTACTGCTGTAGATTCCCATAAGCTATGATACAAAATCTAGCCTAAGGTGGCTTAAATTGAAGCTTTTGGAGAGAAAGCGTCAGTTTAAATACAAAAAGTTTTAGGATTGTTTTATATAAGAAAATTATACTTTTATAAATAAACTTATTGAAATGTGATTAGGAAGGAATAATTGTGCAGTTTGAAACAACTGATTCAAGCAAAATGAAATGCAGATTCTTCTAATATCTATATTTATAAAAGAGGAAGTTTGTATGTTTGAACGTTATGAGCTCGGACACCGTTGGACCGACTGCCACGGAACTTGGTACATATGTGTAGAATTTCATGGAATAGGTTTATATACCATAAATTCCGTGATCCGTCCAATCGGCTCCGCCCCAGTGGCTCTGGAGTTTCCCCATGTTAACCTTATGAGTACTATTTAAATGGAATTAAAGAATCCTATAACAGCTGGTTCAACTAAACAATTTGATTCTGTGATGTTCAATAGCATTAAAAAGCTAATAAGTTTACCAACAGGATGCAGCACTATTATTTTTTATTTTATTTATGACAACAGCTAATTTGCAACCAAAATGTGAGTGAGCGTAGCGAACGAACTTCAACCTGGAGGCGAGTTAGCGTAGCGAACGAGCAAAACTTGATGGCAAGTGAGCGTTGCGAAAAAGCTCCGACCTAAAGGTGAGTAAGCATAGCAAACGAAATTCAACCAGGACGTGACTGAGCGATGCGAACGAGTTTTGACGTAAAACCACATTAGGACAGGACGACGTCTGTCGGGCCAGCTAGTAGAATATAAAATGGTTTAAGTTACCTTTTGAGTCAAACGATCCGTGATGTAGTAGATGACTATAGCTGTTTCGTGCCGCTGGGGCACATCTTCAGGTCGAGCGTTAAGATGATGAAGCTGTCATCCGTGGATGAGTTTGTCAAAATAAATAATTACACAAAATACACGGTACAAAAACATTAAAAAACACGTATTTACAAACTTGGCCAAGTGACGAGCGAGGCGATACAGGTGCCGGTGAATGTTGCGTCATGATTGCTGGCGTGTGTCCAGCAAGTTTGTAAATACGTGTTTTTAAATGTTTTTGTACCGTGTATTTTGTGTAATTATTTATTTTGACAAACTCATCCACGGATGACAGCTTCATCATCTTAAAGTTCGACCTGAAGATGTGCCCCAGCGGCACGAAACAGCTGTAGTCATCTACTACATCACGGATCGTTTGACGCGAAAGGTTAACTTAAACCATTTTATATTGCAATTTTCGATCCAGAGGCTAACCCATCATGAAATAATATAGAATGATGCCTTCTAGCAGATCTTGAATAAATTGACTTGCCTACAATGTTAAATATATCTGGCAGGAGGGAATGTGAAATATGACAAATATCTAAATCTAGGCAAGGATAGTTGCAAATCAATTTATTCGAAAATTACAAAACAAAACTTGTTACAGTCTTTCATTTTAATCAATCAACAACACATATGTGATGTGCTTTTGTCATGACTCAATACACCGCTGTGTTGAGGTTGAGGCCAGGAGATAGAGAAGAAACTCAACCCAGAGAGTAATAAAAACCTTAAAAACTCAACCTATACCAGTGGTAGCAAATCTGTGCAATGTTTTAAAAGTCGATTTGCACGAAATTAAGTTACCGTATTGCTCAAAATTACTGGACTTTTTTGTAAGTAGATATAACTAAAATATTTTCAGGCGCATAGATTTTACGGAAATGAGACTAAACCAGTACGATTCCCCGGAAATGTTGGAACCCCGGAAAATGGACGGAATGAGAACGAATTCCCCAGATTCCGGGGAATTCCCCAGACATTGGCAACACTGTGAAATATCTGTCAAATCCTTCACCTTGAAAAGCAGTTGTGTTTTCGATAGATTATTGCCATCTAAACACCATCTAGATTATAACTTGCAGACCAACACAGTTAGTCCCTAGTGAGCAGCTGTTAAAAGGCTTGACTGTCTAGTGTCAAAACTATAATAAAGCTCCAATACAGTTAATTCATTGTGAAAAAAATGATATTTTTCCTCACTAGAAAAAAAATATGTTTAGGCCTATAATGAAAACGGACCAAATCATTCATATACCACAGTAATTACTTGGGAAATAAAAACTAAGTTAAAAGAAGGAGAACAATTGTAGAAAGTATGCCTAATGGTTAGGCTTCACTTACTGCACTTACCTACCTTTCAAAAAGTATATTGTTAAATAAAACACTACCATGCAAGTAATAGATTGAGGAACTTTTTACTTAAACTTTAACAGAACAGAACAACAGAACAAAGAACAGACATGGTAATTAGGGTTATGTATTGTGTGTAGTTGTGTACGTCAAGTGTAAACGTAAACATATGGTCGATTGATTGATTGATTCGACTCTACTCCGACTGGTCTGGCTTTGACAGATCCGTAGAGCACGATTTGTTTTTCAGGACTAATTTTGGCAACAGTGTCATTTGGAGGCTTAATGAAGGTTTACTAATAGAAAAATTAGTTCCGTTCATTAAATAAAATTATAAATGCCTCAAATTCAATTTTATATGTTTTTAATTATGAAATTAAACTGTCATAACCTGACCAAACTAACCAGACTTGCTGATGATGAAAAATCGAATGAATGTTTAATCGAAAAAAACAGTTCTGTTCATAAAATAAAACTATGAATGGCTCAAATTCAATTTTATAATGTTTTAATTATAAAATTAAAATGTCATGACCTAACCAAACTTGCTGATAATGAAAAAAATCCTAGACAAAAAGTTAGTGCTGCCGGAATAATTCCAACCCGGCCCTCCCGTTTATGAGCCCAGCACTCTTACTCTTTCATACGCCTAGTGTTATATAGTCAATGCTTGTATCCACTATGCCACCGAGGCCGATGACAGCGACGTGTTAGTATCGTTCCGTTCCGGTTATGGTGTTTCCTCAGCAAATCAGAAGCCTACAAATGACACTGTTGGCAAAATTAATCCTGAAATAAAAATTCAGCATCCGGCAGATGGCAAGGCCAGCAGAACATGTAGAGACTTTTTTTACGAACGGCCTTTTCATCGTCGAATTTCTACGCTGTACTTTATACTTATATTTTATACCTTATACTTTTCAATGAAATATTTTTATACAGTCAAAAATTTGACATATAATGATACAACACACAACACACAATGAACAATGTATTATATCGATAGTTACAATCGACAAGTTTCGCCTTCTGCGTATATTATGTTAAAAGTCTTAAGTTTAAAATACTATTTTTGCGAAGGGTTTATAATTTAAATCCCAAAAGGAATGGAGATGCAATCCACTCAAACAACTAAAAGCAACGCAGCCAAATTTAGGAAAGGAGATACAGGAGGGGAAAGGCTCCTAAAAGACCGAGCGCCGTACACCAATTAATAGACGATAGGAAAAAGTTGTGGAATGGTACCGAAGTATGCCTAATAAACGTAAAATCAGATGGATAATTTCGAACTCAATGAAGACGTGAGAGAGGTATACATCTCAATGGAAGATCTTAAACATAAAACATGACAAGTTTTATAACCATTAGTCATTATAGTACTCCGGGACCCCAAAAATGGATTTAATCTCAGTTTCATTAGTCACCAGGCGCAGACATGCCTTCAATTAACTTTTTATAGGATAGCATCATAGTTTTTCAATGACTTCATTTAAAACAAATTTCGGACTCAAAACATATCAGAAGCACGAACCTTACGCAAAACAAACACAGCGCTCGCTAGTTACTTAGTTTTTTGGGTTAAGTTGGTGGAGGGTGAAAACAATTTTAAAAACGAGTCATCAGTCTTGGTGAATCAAGTCCAGGTGAAAAGGTACATTTTTGTTCTGTTCTAAACCATAGATAAAATATACTCCCTTAGTAGATTTATCATCCTTATGGAACAGCTGAAGACAATTTTATTGTTAGTTCTGTACGGTTTATGTAGAAGTAGTGTTTTGTTTACAATTTGTTTCCCGTTATTACAGCCATTTAAAACCTCGTTTAGCCAAATAATACGATATAATCATAAACAATAACTTGTTCTCTAGTTATATACCAAACAGTAAAGCACAAATCAAGAAATTAACCCTAAAATAATAGAAACAAAGTTTCGTCGACACTAGCGCCTTTGTGTCACGTACATGAACTAGACACGAAAAACGTGCTTCAAAATTTACAATAGGATGAGAAGGAGAAGTCTACTTGTGTTGGTTAGTCTATGTCTAAACTTAATCTATTCAGTATCTTGCTAGCATTTCGAAAAAGCCCGGCAAAATTGTATAGGTGAAATAGTGTGACTACATGGTAATTAAACCAAACCAGCCTTTATAAAAGCAAACTAGAAAAGAAGAAGAAGACAAAGAAGAAGAGCCATTTCGACTTCTAATCCACCGTCCGTCACCGGAATCCGAAATCCCCGATCATCACTCATCAGTCATCACCGTCACGTCACCGTACCACCGTTCGGTCCCTCCGATCCGATCATCTTTCTCTTTCAATTTCAACTTCATCGATCATCGTTTCATCATCATCATCCATCAGTCATCTTCTAACGTTCAAACTAGGCTGCTAGGAAGGAGCGAAGGAGGTTAAATTAAAATGGCTGATCCTAAGTATGCTAACCTTGTCGGCATTGTAAGTACTTTTAATTTAAATTATTTTAAGGTTTACCCTTCTTGATGTTAGTTAAAGTTTATTCTTTACACTTATCTATCATAAACCCTCCTCCCCGCCCGACTAGGCCTAGGTCCTTACATTTAAAATCACTCGTAGGCCTAAGTAATGTGTCCTAAGTGTTTACTGTAGGCCCTAGTCCTAGGTCTTCAACACTGCACAAGATTGGTCTAAATTCAAGCCCTCTATCAATAATTCAACCATTAATCAAAATCTGAAATCTTTATTCACCATTGATCATATTACCCTTCATGAAATAGGCCTAGGCTTTGTCATACAATATAGGCTAAATCTATCATAATAATAAGGAAAAGAAAATATAGGGTACAGTTTCTCAACTTGTTCAGTGCGGCAGGCAATCCAACAGGCGATAATGGCGGCGAGGCCCGGGCGAAGCCATGGCGTGGTACCGTAACAGCGAACGCAATTGGCATTCAAATATTTCAATCTGACGAATAACGATTGTACTACGTTAGCCCGAGATTGGACGTAGTTCCCTAAAACACCCAAAGGTAGCAGCACTGCCTGGATCAGTTGTCAGTGGCTTTGTGGCTTGAAGAGAGAAAATCCCCGAAACCGGGACAAAAGCATTGTGAGATGGGATTTTACGGGAAATTTTAGTACCATCCTAAGTTACACCAAAATAAAGTTCACATTCTAAGCTACAGGCTAGCAACAATTTTAACTTCACAGGCAATAGCTGAGCTCATACTGAACTTATGTAGTGGGGGTTGCGCAACTACATCAATTGATGTAGGCCGCTAGTGGCGCGACTATATCAATTGATGTAGTCAGCATTGAACGTGTTAATTGGGCTACGCTAATATTGATTGAAACTATCAATTCGATTAGTAAACCTTCATGCGAGTTTCAGCAAGTTTGATTGGATAGGTTAGGTTATGATAGTTTAATTTTATAATAGGCCTAGATATATTTTAAAATATTGATTATTAATCAATATTTTCAATTTGATAGTTTCAATCAATATTAGCGTACCGGTAGCCCATTTAAGAATCTACACACATAACAATCATAAACCTACCACTGACAATAACAACCTCATTTCTTGGTCAATTCAATCTACAAATTAATCTAGGATCACAGGACGGACTAAAAACTCAGTTAAACAATAAAACGGATTTGTTAATAGCCAATCGTGAATTTTCTTTTGGATTATCCAACCATAAGTAACTCACCGATTCAATCAATAACTTCAAAAACTTTTAACCAAACTCAAAACTTTCTACTTTCTAGCCTACCTGTCAACTGTGTAGCCTAAGAAACAATAACTTAACAATACAGTTGGATATCATAGTGATGCCTTTTAACCCGTTGTGGTAGGTACCGGTACTGTACTTAGGCTACTATTGTTTTAATTTGGTGTCGGGTTGTGCATACTTTATATCTGCCATATTTTCAAGTATTCAAGTTAAACAAAATATGATTGTGACGCCAAGAAGTCAGTTTCTACGTTTATTTAAACCTAGCAGTGGCCAACGAGCGTAACACGCTCGTTCGTCATGACGCCTAGAATCGCCACCAGCGTAACTTAATATCTAGTATGGGCCGAAATTTTTTTAACAGTGAAAAAACCGCTTATAAGTAATCAACTCTGATGTGAACAATATATATAGGCTACCAGTTCGAAAGATCACATTCTACACTTTCATTTTATTATATGTATAAACAAACCCTGTATAAAGTATATAACAATGTCACGACGATTAAAAAAATCAAATGAATTTTTGGCGCGGTACGACTTTTGCAGCTGGCACTTGTAAATTGTCAAAACACGACCTGTTTAGCATTACCCTGCTCGGGTAATTTTCGTCTTGGGATGTTGCGGTGGTACCACTGGATAGCTATTGATTTTATCTTCATTGTGGTATTGATATTTAGAACGAAATATTATTGCCCAACAAGTACGATTTTATGATCAGCTGTTTTCAAACTTTTTAACAAACCAGCGTAATACGCTAGTACGGAAAATACGAATTACATACAGTGTAAGTCATTATTACTAGTCATATTTAATATGTCATTTTGAAGAGGAAGAAATATAGCTTGTGATAGTGGCAGCCCTGCGCTCAGGGTTATTTTCGGTTTCTCTCATGAAGACGACGAAAGTGTGTCACTACTGTCAAGGTCTCATACACAAAGTGCTTTGTATTCGCCATTGCGTCGCTACTGGGTCGTCATTGAGTGTTGTTGCCGGTGAGTTTTCGCTCTCGTGTTATCTGCGATTTATTACTAAATTCGTTATTATTTCGTATTGTTAGAGAAATGTGTGTGTATATATAACAGTAATCTTCATGCACTTTATCATGCATGAATATTTACTGAATAGTGTGAAATTGTGTTTATAAAAGGTTGTATTTTTCTTACGGTTGTATTTTGTGGTTTTCTGTTTATTATATCATTATGCCCCTAACACGTAAAAACAACAATTGTTACCCAACGTGTTATACATTTTTATGTAGGTAATTCATTACACTACAAGATGGTCATGTTGGTTTGAAGTTTTATTAAATACTATTTGATTTTTTTCCCACAAAATTGCTAAAATATAAAAACATTATTTTATTTATAAATAAAAAATGATTTTCACCATAAACTTTGTGACTTTTTTTGGATTTCTTACTTTATTAGCTTTACAAACATGTATATAATATCATTATTAGTATACACATACTTTTAACACAAACTCACACTGTACGGTTTTCAATTTTTTCGGTTCTCCGTTTGTTATTATGGTATATTTTGCCTCAAAAACTTATAAAAAGAAAATATTTTCCTAACATGTTATATTAATATTTCTATGTAGAGAATTAGATTGTCTACGAAATGTATACAATGAATTTCCCATATAATATTTGTAGAAACATTTTTACCAAGGCTGCTTTTGAAATTTCAAAAAATAATTCTAATTTTTTTATTTTCTTCACTTTACCAAAAAATACACTGTCTAAATCATTATTATATTACTATTTCTAGATTCTCCGGTTCTTTCCGAACAAAATGAATATAAGATTGGCTAGGTTTACTTGTAATGTTGAATTTTTACGAATTTTCAAAAAAAGGTCTGCAAAATCGCCAAACTGGGTTGGTCATTCCCCACTTCTAACATTGGCCACTGCTAGGGTTGAAGTGGGACACATGAGAAATTGACCTACATTTTTACTATGAAAATGATTGTGCATACGGGATTGGTCCCAGAATATTTTTACCGCAACTTTCAGAGTTCATAGTTTTACCCCAAAAGTGTCTGAGAAAAAGGTGCTCAAAATAAGACAAAGAAGAAACAAAATATTTTTTTTTTAATTTGATTGGTGCTCTACAAGTAAATAAATGCTTAAAGGTCTAGCAAATGTAAAGCAATAACAATAATGTTAATTGCAATAATATACAACATGGTAGTGTCAGTGTGGAAGCAGTAACTGAGTGCTAATATGGTGTCAACAATAAATCAACAGAAACTAATTTTAAGGCACAGTAGCAATAATAGAAAAGATATTAAAATTTACCTTGTAGAAATTGACTTCAAATAATAAAAACTGACACTGTTCTCATCTATGATAATCAGAATAGGAATAACCATTAGTAGGCCTATTTAACACTTACAGAGCCAGTTAACTTTATCAAACTTTACCTAAACTTTACCTGGTTCTGAACAAAACATTTCACTGAGTTACAGTAGTGTACAGATGACCACTAAAGTTATTCACCATTTTGCTTTTGATTTTTAAGGCCTACGATCAGCCTGATGTCTATGAAACAAAGGACTTGCCTGAAGCAGATCAGAATGCAGAAATATTTGAGGAGGTAAGTTGAGCTTTTTTGTGAAATTACTTATAGCGTTGGACAGTGTTGTTTCAGTGCGTAGAATTTTTCTGTGATTCCGCTCATAATCACCTTGGAAAAAACTGGGGAATTCACCTGTGACTCCCTATAGGACTTTTGGAAAATTAAGCAGAGTAGGAACACAGTTCCCCTCATCCCATTACAACACTGGTGTTGAAAAATTAGATTCGTTTTTAGACAAGGACCTAACTTAGTTTAATATCCTGGAGTTTTAGGAATATTCCATGTTGCAATTAACTGCGCTCTTGCCTAGTTAACTTCTGCTTTAGTTTTTAAGTGCTAGTGTTTACTGATAGTTTTTCAGCACAAAAAGTCTAGTAGCGTATCTGCCAATGGGTAACCAATAGACAGTAGTAAATCAGAGGACTTTAAAATATAATAATATCAATGCAGTATACCTACTGTAAAACATTTTGATACTTTTTTCAGGATTCCTATTGGAAACTCAATGTACTGTATTTATATGTACCTGACATAACTTAACAATACATTTACTTTTCAACCGGAAAGTTTGCAGTATCCAAAGTCAATGGTATTGGTATGCCTGGTTCACTTAAATCTTAAATGGAATGTCTATTTACAGGTTTTAAAGCCAGGTACATCTGGTTCACATAAACGAATACCATTTGGTTCACATAAATGAGAAATTTACTTCACATATTAAATGAGAAATCTACTTGCAGTATCCAAAGTCAATGGCCCATTTGGTTCACATAAAAAGGTGCCTATTTGCAGAATCCAAAGTCAATGGCCCATTTGGTTCACATAAAAAGGTGCCTATTTGCAGTATCCAAAGTCAATGATAGGTTGATTTCTAGTTCACCTAAATGGAATGTCTATTTGCAGTATCCAAACTCATTAGTACATTTGGTTCACGTAAATTACCGTAATTGTCTACTTGCAGTATTCTAAGTCAATGGTTCATTTGATTCGCATAAATGGAGTGGCTATTTGCAGTATCTAAAGTCAATTGTACGTCTGGTTCACGTCAATTACTGTAATTGCCTACCTGCAATATCCAAACTCAATGGTAGGCCTATATTTAGTTCACATAAATGGAATGGCTATTTGGAGTATTTAAAGTCAATGGCGCATCAGCCTAATTCCGGCGACCCTAATTATTGGTTATTTATTTTGTAGTAAATTATGCTCAATGCTATTGATCCGATTGTTCTTCCCCATTTTCTCTGTGCTATTTTAGATGATTCCTTGACTAACATATGTTGTGACACTTGTTTACCTTTTTATTGTTATCTTGCAAATAATGTCATGGCAACCAATTACCCCATAAGTCCCATCATGTTAAATTTCTAAAAGTTCACGTAGGGAAAAGACTGCTGTCTGATTTGTACCATTTCAGATCTATACCTTACCTTGGTTGGTTACTATGACCTTTGACTATTAATAGTAGTATAAGAGCTCCACTTAGCTCTGCTCAACGATTGCAAAAAAAATGCTTTACAAGTTTTTAAAATCTTAAAGAAGACTTAATGGTTAGGTACTTCCATCGTTGGTATAAGGATCCCCTTGTATTTTTATCCAATAACAAACTTACTCCCTAGAAAATTAAAATACTCATAAAATAACCTTGGTCACAAATTAGTTTTGATTTTATACAGGAATCTGACAGCATAGAACGCCTGCACATTAGTGCAACTAATGCATTATCCAAGTTTAAAGGAAAACGTTTAGATGCAAGCCGAGTTGACTTTTCTGATAGGCTAGGAAAACAGTCTCGCACGGGTTATGATGCAAGGTAAGATTAATATTTATCAGTATTTTTATTTTAAGATAATGGCAACTTTAAACAAATTTCCCAAATAAGGAATTAGTTATTACCGTAGGTCTCATGGTAAGACCTGGGCTTGGGACCGATTAACTTTTTTGGTTTTGAGGGGAAAAAAACATTTGTTCAGATTCATATATACATGTGTTCATTAGTGCAATAACTCGGGGGAAAAATCATCCGATTTTGATGAAGTTTGTTACAAACGTGTAGACCTACTGGTAAGTAAAGACTTTGCTGGTATTGTTGTCATCGGCCACTCATACGACAGTTGTTGTCATGGTTTGTATTTGTATTCTTAAAACAATGTCAGTGATTGTGTCTAACCCAAAACGCTTTTCGGCATTTTTTTTTAAATTTTGGTCCTTACAACATAACATTTTCCAGTGTTTTCACTGACCTAACCCCTTTCTTTCTTCCCCCTTTTTAACCCAAAATAAGTGCATTGTGTTTGTGTTGCGTTGAATAAACATAAACCGTAGGAAAAAAACCTGCCTGTGTCACAATCACTAAATTGTTGTTTTTTAAGTAAGTAGACCTTGGTGCTGTTTGGCCCAAACCTTGATAGGGACTTAAATGGTAAGAATGTTGTGTCTTTATGTTTAGGCTTAAACTACAACATTTTATAATTACTTTCAGATATGGAGATTGGGAACTAGCTGGTGATGGAGAAAAAGAGACCCCAATTCAAAAATATCAACGACTTCAGTGTGAAGTAAAAGAACTTTTGGATGAAGTAGCCAATTTGAAGGTTTGTGAAAAGAAATATATTTTTGCAACAAGCTATAGCTTTTGTAAAAAAAATTCTTTATATCTAAATGATCGCGGTATTTTGGTATTATACCGACCACACCTGATAATAACCTAACCTAACCTAAGGATGGACTATGTTTAAGGTTAGGTTAGGAAGATTTTTTTTTAAACTAATTAATATCTTATTTTAAAATCAATTTATCGGCGTGGTCGGTATAATACCAAGGTACCATGATCGAAATATGTTACTTTGGTTTAGACTCCTTTTTACAGAAAGTTAGTCATTTTTACCCATTGTACTTTTTTCTCTTGTTTTGAACTGTTTGTTTTTTTTTTTTACCTGGGACTCAAGTTGTACATCTTGAGAGCAAGCACCAGGTTAAAGGCCTCTGGTGACATCCTTAGACATGCAGGATCATTGTTTCTTATAAGGTATTAAAGAGGTTCATGCTCATGTGATAAACCAAAACACATGTAGTCTTGAGTTAAGTGTGTATCATGTCTTGGGAGCTAAATATTTATTATGATGATAATATGTATACGTTGTGTTGTGTGTCTAGGAGACAGCCAAGGATGAAACCAACAAGCAGTCATGTATTGTGGTAGGTAGACATGCACAAGATCTGGTACAACAACTGACAGAGATGAGGCTAGAGGAACAGCTGGGAGTTGAACTGGTGGCTAGTCTGTCCGATCCTCAAGGAGCTCAAATCAAGTAATTATTTGTATATTTTGTACTAATATACATTTACTTATTTTTTAGATAATAATGTTGGCACTTCAATGTCTAATATGGCCACTGCCTTTTGTCACTCAAGTAGTTTTGTGTGATAAATGATCTAAGCTGAGGCCGACAGTAATGAGGTAGAGCCGACTGCTTTCCGCGAGAACGGGCTGCAGAGCGATTTGCCCCCACATTATCCTAAGGATTTTGTTTATAATGCATGTAAACTTCTCCTATGTTTAGTTTTGCTCTTCCTCAATCTTCAAAAAGTGTTGAGTACAAAATAATAAATTTTTTAAATATGTTTAAAACTTTTTAGTTGGGCTGCCTACTAATTACACATGTCAGAGAAATCACTGATTTCCAAAGGCATTATAAGTCTCATGTTTGGCAGGTGGCATAAAAATAAAATAACATTTTATTTATTTTGTTTAAAATAAATTACAATAAAGGTAAGTTCTAATCTAGGTAACTGCATAACTAAACAATAAACAAATTTAATCCCACATGGGAGAATCCGTGCATGGGAGTGAGTCGTATTACATTGTAACTAGTGGCTTGTAGGGGCAATAGCCCCTATTATTCTAGTTAGTATTTTGTACAAATTATTAGTCTTATGGGTTACCCTCTACCTTGAATTATTGTTTAACATTTTTATTTGTTATAATATGTATGATAGTTAGTCATTACATAGATGCATAAAGCATTTTGATGTCTGCTCTGTTTGAAATAAAAATTCCAAAGGACTGTTCATTCAGTGTGTTTATAATATAAACTTTCTAATCATAATACAACTTAGGAACATGTTCAATAGTAATTTTCATGACTATTAATTAAATATATATAAATTTCTTTGAATATATACAAATTCACTTCGAAAAACACATAGAGGTAATGTCATCCTCCAAATTGTAAAATGCAAAATCACCCGGCTAAAAGTAACATAAAGTTGACCACTGGGTAAACACTGGGTTTTTTTCAAATAATTGTCAACTTTTGTGAAGGTTTGGCCTTGCGCTTTATTTATAGTAACAGCGATTTTTTTAAGAGAAAATTTAAACTCGGATTGGTTGATATTAGTTTTATTTTTGGCATGAAAAATATGTTTCCTTTGCCTACTCCAGTAATTCCTTCTAACTTTACACTATTTTCGGACATGCCTAACACAGCCAATCGTACTCCATTAACTAATCCACCCTTAAAATTGGGAAAAAGTATATTTAAGCTTTATAATAGTATACATAGTAAAAAAAACAATAACAATCAAATCAAAACAAATACATAGGTACTAATTTGACAGTTACAATTAGGTGAGCTTTTGTTTGAAATCCGAGTGACGTCAGAATATGACGGGAATAGCACACCTATGTTTTTTCCTTCCACCATGCACAGTACATATTACAAATTACCATATGCTTTAAATAAAGTTAAACCACATGTTTTAAAGTAAACAAAGCAGACATGACTTAGATTCCCGTGCTATTTAAATGTGAATTAATTTATTCCGTAATAACCTTTCGGTTTATAATTAAGAAAAATTAATAATTTTCCCCAAAATTCCATACCCAGACCTTTAAAATGAGACCTCTCCCAGCTTTCTACGGCCTCCCGTTCGCTCAAAATTTAATTGTAAAATTTTGGGCTTACGGAATTAGATATATAGATAAAGAAATGAGAAACTTTGAAAATATAGCAAAAACAAAGAAACTTCAAATTACTGACATGATTCCACAGCGCTAGCCTTGTCACTACATTTTATGACAACAATTAAGTAATTAAACATTTATTTATAAAGTAACAAGTAGGAATTAAGTCTTGTTGGATAACCGTACTTCCCTAGATAACTAAACCATTAGTTGATTAAAGAGTCGGGTTAACGTGCAATATTTGTTTTTCTTGACCAATGGCAAATGCACCAATTATTTTTTGAGATTGTGGCACCAGTTTTATGTCCAAAACACTGAGTTGGTTCACATAGGCCTCCACACGGAAGTCAACTAGAAAGTAAATTGGCTCATCTTGGAGGCCGACAGTAATAAAAGAAGTTTCCTGGATTGCTCTGAGAAGTGTTACTTGGCAGTCACATAACTTCTTTACAGCTGATAAACTTTGAAGTAATTGAAAATTTTACATGTAGCTTAATTTTAAATGGCAAGTCCTAGTTATTGGATGGAATCAATTTACCTTTAACATTTCACATATAGCAAACAAAGTAGGCCTAGCTACTTTTGTAGTACCTAGTGAAATGTTATAAAGGGATGTAGTAAATAAATAAATGGGTTGCTGAGTGGTAATAGTGCTCATGTTCAAAATGGAAGGTTGCTCTTCCTTAGTGGAATCTTTTCTGGGCCTATTTGTCTTTGTCATTATTCCTTTTTAACAAGACCAGGATTATCACTAGTGTACCTGTTGCTCAAATTCGAGCTATTGCAAAGTATTACAGGCGTTATTTTAAAACGAATAACAGTAATAATTTCCGATGACTTTAAAAGGGTCGATTCAAAGATTATGGAAATACTCACGATGTACATAACAGATCGATATAATCAACATTTCTTGTGAATATCAAAAGCTGATCTTGTTTTTTTAGTGTTTTCTAGAAACATTTCCCGCTCATAGCTGCATTAGGTTGTTCATAATAATGATTATATATTAAAAAAAAAACATTATTTCTATTTCTTCTACTTGGTGTTGTTCTATGACTTTCCTACAGTATGTTTCCATAGTTTGCAAATCGGCTCTTTCAATGATTGCTCAAGAAATGCAGCACAGTGTCAATTCAGTTTTCTTTTCAGTATTTCAAATTGTCCAGGCGTTCTCGCTTTTTTCCATTGTAATATTTACGCCAACCCAAATTGAAATAGTAAATATTTCATTTCAACCAAGTCAGTAAATGTTTGTAGCACACGTTTCCTTAAATTGCAACCAAAATATTAACAGCAGTTAAATTATCCAGCTGATCATAATGTAAACAAATATGTTCTTCATAAGGATAACATTGGAACTTAAAAAGCCACTGGGGCAGAGCCCAAGGAACTTTTTCAAAAATGTTAGGTCAGTTTGCAAATCTAGACACCAAGACGAACATTTTGGTATATAATATGTGGGGTTAAATCTTAAAACAAAAAAGCCTTATTGTTCACTAAATCTCATTTACTTGCGTATTAATAATATAGATGGATGTAAGAGTCAAGTTAAATCAAATTAAAGTAATTACAGACCTAAACATGTTAAATATTAAATTTTAGCTAAACAAGAGTTGAATGTATAATACTTAAACAGCCTACAAAAGAGTCCTGAGGATTTCATAACAGCCGTTTGTATAGGGTAGCCTAAAAATAAAATTCTGAATGTCAATAGTAGTTGTGTGACAGATTGAATCCTGAAACTGAAAAGAACAGCTGATGTAACCAGGCTTTATCTATTCATTTATTATATACACAATGATTAAAAGACCGCTGGATCAACATTAAGTATATATTTCAAATATATAGAAATATTAAAAGCCACCTACAGATCCTTTCGAAATAACTTCACAAATCAACACTCTCTGAACATTTTTGTTTGGGATGTCCTTTATCATTGTTAGTTGAGAAGATCTTGCCTGCTTAAAGATTCTGTTAAACAATAAGATTTGAAGCAGTTATTGTTGTCAACAACCTACACAGTAATTTGTTACAGAAAGCTGCTGTCTCAGTTGGAGCAGTTCCAGGCCAAGCGTGGTGGGGGGGACCACCACAGTAAGGGGGAGGGGGTGGGGTCAGAGGTCAAGTTTCAGATGATGCTGCGACCTGGCCATGCACAACTGGCGCAGACAGCTCGCCTAGCAGACCTAGAGCAACGTCTGGCCAGGGTGGAGCAGGCTGTGGGGAACACACCTGCCAAGCTGGTTAGTTCCATCTTTGTAATTTAAATCTTAGTAAGCTACCGAATCTCCCGCGGCGTGCTAGATAAGGTCTGTGATACTTTTTTGATTACAAGAAACATATTGGATGCCGATATTCATCTCCAGGTGACTGATGATGGTTATGGCATGGCCCTAACCATGAGTGAGAGTAAAGCGTGAAATGCAAAAATAGCTATGAAAAACTTTTCCCCTTGTGGTCTTTTGTTAGAATTATGTACACCCTCCATTAACAAAATTCCTCCCTAAATGAACATTTTCACACCATTTTATACTCCCTAGCCCGTTTCCGCACTTTCCCCTCTACCATTGCATTAGGGTCATAAACATCAGTCATTTGGTGATGAACGTTAGCATCCGATATGTTTCTTGTGGTCAAAAACGTATCACTGACCTTTAATCGCACATGGCGGGAGATTCAATAGTTAAAAACATTTTAAAACACACAGAGAAGTGTACATGTCAGGTACATAGCTACGAATGGTGACATTCTGTTTAATGATACAAGTAAGTGGCGAGGGTGAGGAGAATCGTTGCGGCGTACTTGCGAACTATAGAGCTATACAATTGTTTTTACAGCATCAGTCTGATTGTAGTAGACATAACTTATTGGCATTGATATAACTTATTTATAAATATTTCTAGTAACCCAAGGTGTCCGGCAACCGTAAAAAGCGGGAATTATACGGGAATATTATGACCCCGAGGTACAAAATATAATATTGTACCGTACCGACCTTAAATTTTCTCAACCACAGATCCCTAGTATTTTACTAATTTCATATAATAATTTTGCTCGTACTGAACAGGTTATAAAGATAGACAAAATGTTTAAATTGCTATAACTATCCACTAAGATTGGCAAAAAGATATTATCGCTTAACAGTGTAGTTTTCTGGGGAATTTGTGATATCAATGAGAAAATTGTATGTTGTTAATATTTAATTTAAATACCAGCATTGATTAAAGTTTCCCGCGTCGTGATCTGTTTTGCGTGTAATGTTGACATAATAAAACCTGGCAAGCCTGGTATACGCCGCTCATGGCCACCCTTCCGCCTTCCCCAACGGCCACATAACCGCTACCCCAGCTAGAGGCCTTACTTCTTTTGCCACATAGATGGGCTTTGTTAAGTGGTGATGTGCGCATGTTTTTAAGCGGTTTGCAATGTGCGTGAGTGTGTGCACCCTTTTTGTTTGTATTGCATATCAAATATATCCAATTTGATCAACTTTTGCTAAATTTACCCTAAAAAGATGCCTTGGAAAAAATGGGAGTTACTCGGGAAATATGCGGGAATTCGGCCGAGTCTATTTGCTGGACACCCTGTAACCTAACTCATTTTATACTTGTTGCTTTTATTCTATACTAGTGCGTTCAAAGGATCACAGATTGTAGGTTCCCACAAAAATCTTGTGTTGATAATGTTCGGGGAATTTTATTTTGAAAATCTGTAATAATCCTGATATTTTATTGACACAGTCTAGGTTGGGATTGGGAGAGGGTAGTTTGATGACCACAACGCAGCAATTGGCTGGTAGAGCTGCTTTGTTGGATGCTGCGGCCTTAGATGCTGCAGAGACTCGACTGTCCAGCTTGTTGACCAAACTGGACCAAGTAGCAGAGAAAACTGCAGCAATCACCGGCTCATCCGACCCCGATAGAGATAAGAAGGTAAGAGATTTATTCTAATTGATAAGATTGTTATACACCTAGTTTGTTCAATAAAAACGTTTACAACATTGAGTATGTTCAATAACTGTGCATTAAAAAAAAATTAAATCCAATAAAAGGTTAAATTAGTGTAGTCTACTAAAAAATATCTTAGTATTTCTGATTGTTTCCTAAACTTGAAAGAGTATAATAAATAAAGTATGTCTTCTAACACAATCCGACATATCTACTCTTTTTACTGTAACATTTGCAAATACAAGACGGTAATTTTATAAATTAATTATAACACCAACACGTAAAATGCTAATCAAGAAGTTTTTCTAAACTTAGGCCTAGTAAAAAATTACTATTTTCATCTCATATCCATGCATTTATACTAATAACTGTAAGGTGCTGTCCGTCTGTAAAAAGCTTAGTTTTATGTGGAATGAAAGTAAGGCCATTAAGTACCGTTCACATTTTACTGAAGTTTGGGTTTATTTGTTAAATCTATACAAAAATTTTTTTTTATCCTGCAGCTTACTCTAAACCACAATCTAAATGCAACTTAGTAGTGGCTTTCACAGGGATCTAGGGTGAGGCAATGAACGTGTTCCAATTTATAAATTTTACAAATTCTATACGGTTTGCCCTTGACATATAAATAGCACATAAAACACAGCTTATCTTTTGCCAACTTGATGGTCCCTCATTTTTTTAAATTCCTTTTTAGTTGCTTGAAAATTCCATCCAGTACTTCAATCCAGCATTTATCTAGGAATCAATTTAATTTCCTAGACAATTCTTTGCTTTAGTTCAAGCAAATCTCTGGTGCAATTTTTAAAAACTAACTCTTTATAGGGAGAACCCCCCAAAGAAAAGAGCCACCGTAAAGCTTCCAATAATGTAAGCTTCCTGACAGTTTTGCGACTTCCACTGATTTTTTTAGGGTTTAAGTTGTTATCCTAGATAATTTTACCAAGTTCCCCATCGTTTCCGATCTTGAACAGTGCCAGGTCGACCAAGGATGGAATGTGGTCCAAACAATCTCTGGTTGTTTGCACAATACTCAAAATTTAAATTATTTTAAATAATTATTTTTAAATAGGTTTCCACAACAAGATCAAAGTGTTATTAAGCCCATAGCACAATGTTTACCCAAATGACAATAGTTTAATTATCCTGAATTTAAAATTTGTGACAAGTGTTATAATCCTGTGGGAAACTGTAAGTTAAATACCGATATTCTTTTAGAAATGTTGTTTTTCAGATCAACGAGCTTTACGAACTAGCTAAGAAGGCAGAGTATCTGTCTCTAACTCTTCCTCAGACCTTGGACAGGTTAATAGCTCTACAGAATCTTCATCAACAAGGTATGCAGTCAGACTAAACTCATGACGAGATTCAGTACCTACCAAGTACTAACATGTACTGAGTTGACAACATTTTTTTCTTATTAAATATGACAATTACATTTGAAAGGGGTTAGAGTTCAGATAAATTTAACTGAGAAGATTAATCAAGGGGCTCATAGATAAACAATAAAAGTCTTGTAACATAACACTGGGTAGGTATAGGATTCATTTTCCAGTAAGCTAGCTGAGCTCCATTTCTTTTCAATGTGTTATAAGGTCTAAATTAAATATTTGTGTCCCTGTGGAAAAGATAAAAAAATAAATAAAAAATAGATCAAATAAATCAGCGAGATGGGTTTCCCTTAAGTTACCCCTTAGCTGACTTTGTTGGCTACTTGGCTACTGATTGTGGATAATGTGTTATAACGCACTTAAATGTTTGTGTCCCTGTTTCTTACTGTATTTATCGGTTGTCTTTTTATGTTTGATGATGTTTTAATTCACAAATAAACTAAAATAACTAAAAAGGAACAGACTACTGTGAATGTATTCATATTTAATATTCCTTTGATAACCCATCCAAACAACTTACTTTCATCTGCCGTCTGCTCATATTGTAGTTGTGTTTGCTCGCCATTTGCTCACATTGTGAACTGTAAATCCATTATGCAATCTAGCTTGTATCATTAGTTTTACTGTTTGACTGGAGGAAAGTTACGTTTTGACTACGACAGTGATTTGAAAGTAATTGATTATTATAGGCTGTTCCGAACCGAATTTTTTTTGGAATTTTCTTCACATCGTTTATGGCTACTTACTGATAGACTTACTGTTACATAGGGTGGGAACAGCTAGAATATTATTGGATTAAATAACGGACACCGTGCTGGTTTCAGATTTGAGTTTGCCCGCTATGTCCCAAAAGTAGCTCGATGGAGACGCCTCTCGGACAACCGTGGTATCTAAAGTTTCTTTTGAAAACGATTGTTTACAAGTAAATAATGACAACATTATTTAAAGTAGCCATTGATCTTATTATTTTAAAGCATTAAATATTATTCCCATTGCAGGAGGAGAGTTTGCTAAGTCACTAAGTGAGATGGAGTCTGTCCAAGTCCAGTTAGCAGCCAAAATGAGGTAAGTTTAAGTAACAACATTTTACAATGGATACTTCAGTAGACTTCTTATCTAACTGCAATATCTGTAGTCTCTTTTGATCTGTTTTTCTTTTCGGGTCTTGTCGAAAATGATGACTAAATTACAGTGTGATTACAGTTATTATTTAGTACCTAGTAAATTAATACTAGCTCATGAGTAGTGATGGGTCGGTACCACTTTTTCAAAGTCGGTACCAGTACCCGTTCCTTGCCAAAATCGGTTCTCAGTTCCGGTACCTTATTTTACATTTTTAGGATAGGCTACTTTTTTAAAACAATATTTTTAAAACAAAATACCCATATTTAAATTTTACAGTATTTTGCATTAGTAAAGGTTGGTCACACAAAACTTAAGGGATTAAGAAAATAAAACTTATTTGTAAAAAAAAAAAAAAAAAACAGCCTAAATAACCAAACACATTCAAGTCAAAATAATAATGTAGCAGAAGTGTTAAAAAATCTATGATGTGTCAATACAAAAATTTATCGATTCTCCATGCCGATACCTAAAAAAAAACAATTCTCAATACCAATATCATTTTTTAAATAGTTTTGACAAGTTTTATAAATGGATTGGTTGTAGGCCTACTGCACAAACCCCTGTCTTTATTTCTTTCTATTAGGTATTTTTGAGGTAGAATAATAGGATGTTTTTAAAGTCAAAAAAATGTATGCAGCAATGAAACATCCTAATTTCTAACTACCCAATTTTCAAGTTTAATCTCTTCTTATCACATCAAATAACTGTGAAATTTACTGTTTAACCAGGGCTAATTCAGAACTGCTGGCGAGTGTGGAGGAAGGACTCAAGACCAACTTTACAACCATCAAGACCGACTTGGAAAGCTTAGATTCGAGGATTAAAGGGCTCTCCAGCAAGAAATAACATTTACCTTCAGTGAACCCATCGAGCATGCCCGAGCATCTAGCATTGTTACTGTGATGTTTATTTTGTAATTTGAAAGTTTATTTATGATCTGTTGCTTTTGTATTGTAAAAGTGCTTTGTCACCATGTTTTTTTTGTAAATTTTTAGATATATATTACAACTTTGAACAAAATCTTTTCCCACAAAATTTGAAATGTTTACCTATCTTTGTATGAAAGTTTTTTTTTTAACTGTTATACTTGAAGTACTGTATTGAGTACGGTAATTAGTTGAAGAAGTTTGTATGTATTAATATTTGAAGTATTTATTTTGAAAAAAGTGGATCCAAAGCCGAATTTGTTTTTGTGTGTTATAAGAGTTGTTGTATTTTTTAACCCTCCGAGTGTTAAGCGTGTAAAAGCGACGCACAACACAGATGCTGTGGTGTTATGCGTCGCTTTTGCGACTCATCGTTTACGGTGAAGGCTCTGGGATTGACTGAATCAGATTGGACTGGATCGAGATTGGTATTGTTGTTTTCGGCAGATTCTAAGCTTTCCTGATGTCTGTTTCTAGGTGCTTTTCATTTTAGTTCCGATCATATTGTAGCAGACAGATGACGTGCGTATTTGTAAACAACTTGGTTGACGTCATATCGGAGACTGATGTGTTTTATTACGTTTATCATTGTTTTAGTGTTAAAAATAAAAAGTAGTGATATATGTGGTGCATTATAAGAAGATTTAAGTGATTTTGAAGGGCTGGTTGATGATCCTGAAGAAGTAGGTAGTGATATTGATGTAAATTATCCGTCAGATTCTTAGCTATGCATTCTTAGCTTACGCTAAATGTATAAAATCAGTTTTTCACCCATAACTTATTTATTTGCAAATTTACTTCCTTATATTATTATATTTTTGGAATCCTCTTAAAATTTAGAACAAAGTGGCTATTAAAATATTTGTAGACCTATAATTATAAAAGTTTATTAAGCGCAAACATAAATATTTTTCATCTTTTTTTTTAGAAATGTTAACCCCACGAAAATTGTTGACAAATTTTTTTTTAATGTTTTATATATTACATTGAAGCCCATAATTTTCCAAACAAAATGATATATAAAACCGTATATTTTAGAGTGTTTTTAAGTTTCTAAGATCCATTTTAATAAAACCCTGCGGTTGCGCAATAAATAGGCCAACAATAACAATACTCAATACTAATAACTACTATTACTACTAATACTATTACTATGGACACTTGGAGGGTTAAAGAAGCAGAAGGAAGACAAAAATAACAAATTTATGAATGAAATAAAAATATTGTTTAATGAGCAGAGATTGTAAAGTGTATGAGGTCAAGGTAATATATTTTGTGTGTATTTTAAATTTATGCTATGAGGCACTTGATTGTTGAACAATTCATGACGGAATGTGAGCTTTTCACCCAACTGTACCTGTAGCAAAACTTATCCATTCAATTATTCATAAAACAGTGCCATTTTTGGTTGCCGGGATTTGGGAATTGGGTGTCTAAAGTATGAGGAGGTACCAAACAAATTTAGGATTCTCAACACTTTGTTAGTGATTCCATTGTTTAAAACTGGTCAGTGAAAATTTGCTTAGTATTAGCTAAGTAGGAGATGTTACAGTAGAACCCCTTTTATCTGTCGGATGCTGGATAACTTGAGGGTCGTACCAGTGGAAAAGTAAATCGGTTCCGGGTCTGGGTCTTACCATGAGACCTACGGTAATAGCTTATTCCCTAAATGGAAAATTCGTTAAAAGTTAAAAGGCTAATTTTGTGCAAAAGTCAGATATTGAGGGTTCTACTGCATGTTAAGAAGAGTTATTCTGACAAATCTGTTTGGTGCCTTCTTGTAAATATTAACACTAAAAGTTATTGCACAATCACAGGTGTATGAAATTATATTAACTGCACTAATATATTGTTTTGCTTTGAAACAATACGATGGCAATGTAATGTACATACTCTCAATTTTCTTAGAATAACGGAAATTATATTTAAACCAATATAATGAAATGTTTTTATTTTATGAATTATTTTGATTCAAAAGGGAAAACCATAAGTACAGTATTTGTACTAATAAAAATAAAAAATTAGTGCAAGTTCTAATTAATAACAATTAGTTGTCAGTACTCACAATCCGTGCATTAATTTTTTCACCTAAGCAGTTTGGTTTTTTTAACCACTTTGATCATAAATTCTGTACAATTACTGTACCATTTTCGGTAATCAACTCATCACTGTGTAAGTGTTTTTAATATCTCTTAAGCCACGTTGACACGAAGCCAGTTGGCGGGTAGGTAGGTACACTAGAGACGAGTAACCTGCCTGCCGACTCGCCTCGTGTAAACACTGCTTAAGGTTAACAAATAAACAAGCCACAGTTCAATTTCCATATTAGCCTAGGTTAATACTTTAATTTTTGTGTTATCTATAATGTATTTAATACTAATTGTTATGTTTTGTGTAATAAAACATTTGATTAAACAATATTTATTAAGTATCTACCTATATAAGTTGTTGAAGAATAAAATATGTTTACCAACTTCTTTAGAAACCACAAAATTCCAATTTACTCCATAATTTTACAACAGGAAAGCTTATTTAAATAGGCCAACTGAATGTAAAATTAATATTTATTGTCTTTGTTGTTTAATGTTTATGTACCTAAGTAATTTAATTTTGAAATCATTGTAAGCAGAAAAATAAATTTGTAAGCTACCAGACCAGTTTTGTATACTAAAATATATAAATAACTCTGAAGTATTTTTCACTTTTCCATTCCTCATCCAATATTTATTTACAAAATGACTAATATTATAGCTTTAATAATGTTTTTACCGCTCTAGTGTCCAATAACATCCAATCTTTGTGTATCGGCTTGCCAGTCATTGTCATGGCATCTTCCTATCAGCTTAGAGTTAATTTAGTTTATAAGTTGCTCACGAGGCAGGCATCAAAACAAGAACATCTATCTATATATATAATACGCTAAGCCGATTTTTGTAAACAGAACTCCTCCCTCATTTTTGGACCGATTTTGATGATTAAAGTGTCAAAAGAATGGCCCTGATTTGTAGTTTTGCAAAGTGTTTTTAGTTTTTTGAAATCTGTATTAGTTTAGGCTGGATCTTCCATCAAAGTTGGGGTTTCTCCCATAAGATTAACAAAGGGGAATAAATAATTAATTGGAAACTTTGTCTCCACTAATTTAAGAGAACGACTGGGCGTAGAAACTTGGTAGAGGTGTCCAAAGAAAGGTCTTGGTCTGTAGATGATTTATCAAAAGAAACACGAACTAAATTCCCATAGGGCTCTGCCCCAGAAGCCTTTAAAGATCCCTCAACAGATTTGTTTACATTTTGGACATGTGGATAATACTTTTTAATGAAACAGCTGTTAATTTTTAAATTGTGTTAACAACACACATTTATTGGGAGTTACTGAGTTGTCCAAAAGAAGTATTTGCAATGTTATTTTCTGATTTTAAAATTGATTTTCTTCTGTATCATGTCATCTTTTGCAATATAACGTTCCATTACGAAATCAGTGGAAATTCCTTTTATCACAGAACTCTTATAATAATTTCTTATTGAACTTATGGATTTAGGTATCGTCGTTTTGAATTTGGGAATTAGGATTCGTGGGGTTTTCTAATATCTGTTGTACGGGTTGTTGTCTGCTTTTTTCACCACTTTTGCCTATATTTTATCATATTATTCTACAAATCATCATAGGTTCATGAGATTATTGTCATACATGTTTTCAATCATTGGAAAAATCTTTGATTGTGTAATACAATACAAAATAACAAGTGCAGAAGGGCACGTTGCCCATTTGAGCCGTGTCCATATTTTGTTAAATTAATAGTAGTTTACAGCAACTGGATCAAACATTTTTATGTAGAAATATGTGCATGATTTAGAAAGTCATTAGGCTGTAAAACTGCAATTTACTACAGACTTTTTAGAGAGGTTAGTACTTCGATGTATTCATTCAGCTTAGTGAACACATAATATAGATATGTATACAAATAAGAATTTGAACCGTTAGAGAGCCTTTGAATGTTATTAGAATAACGAAATGGGTTGTGCATGTTTACAAGCGCAACTCAGCAACAAAAACCATTTAATTTATCTCTAAAAAATATATTCTTAAAGTGCACTGAGCAGCAGCCTAAAAAATACTATGTAACTTACCCAAATAGTTACAAAATGCTCGAACTCGCATTGTGACATTTATAATTCGGCTTATATTTCTCCAGCAGATTATTTATCTGCAGAAGAAGTTTATTGTGCTCTTATCGTGTCTAATAACATCCAAACACAGAAATCTTGCCTAAAATGGTATACCTATCTTGAAAAATTATTTGCAGTGGCCTATTACGGACCGTGGGCCCACTGGGTTGTTAACATGATTGAAAGTAACACGAGATTTTGGCTGTAAAAAAGGCACAAAGAGTAAATACTGTTTAAGCAGCTACTGTCATGACAGAAAGGTCATATTCCTTTTAAACTAGATCACATCATCCTTTTTAAGATACGTTGTTTAACAATGCATGTAAACGTCAATATTTACGTAACTGCCAATTTACAGTATTTTATGCTTTTTGGAAATGCCACATTGCTATGTCATTTGCATTATTTGTTGCCAATGAAGCCACACGACCATATCAACGAGGAGGCCCCTAAACCGTCGATTTCGACGGGTTTCACCTAGTTTAATTTATTCTAAAAAATAATTGGCCTTCCAAGTGTTCAAGTGTTTTCATGTTGGCCAGTGCCACTGGCCAACCAATATGCTGTGCCGCTGTGCAAAGATTGCAACTGGAAAGTGGAATAATTAATAATGCAACCTGATGTTATATTTCATCACTACGGCGTAAAGTAACTTTTTCACAAAAGTCCGAGTCCAACAACTAACACTTTACCTGGGTCGGAAAATTAGTGAGAATAGAAGAAATTTTGCCTTGTGTTTTTTGTCTGTACGTTTTGTCCCACTATATCATTCTTTAAGTTAAATAACTCACAAAATGTAAAATCCCCAGTTGTAGTTGGTAGACCATCTCACCAGATTGCACCACGTTTTGTGGCTTCAAATCTTTACATTACTTGGGGAGTCTATTGTGTATAGTTAATGTTCCTATCTAGTTTGGCTGTTAAATACAAACCACTATTACTGTTATTTAGATGTATTAGCTGTTGTGTCAACACAATAATAAATTCAATTCAATCAACTTTTTAACATTTAAATTAGTCCACAAATGAATGAATGGGTATTTACTGTAAGAGAATGTACGGTATAACAAGATTACAAACACAAATAATACGATAGTATGGTTATTAACTTTCATAGCGCCCAGGCCCTTTTGTGAAAATGTGCCCCAAGTGGTCAGGTCAAATTGGCTTTTTCAGAGACACTTTTTTTAATTTGTAAAAAAGGAAATATTGAACCATCAATGTACACAATGTACCAATCAATGTACGTACGGTATTCATTTGATTCGCAAAACCAAAAAGAGTAAATATTATTTAAGGAATATTTGTCGGAAAATTGTTTAAAAAATTAAAAAATAGCATTTGCAAATAGATATTATGTCAAACTCAGTTTGCGGAAGAAAAAATGTACAGCTTGAGTCCAGCAGATTAATTTTGCCCAAGAGATAGAGAATGAACTATTTTAGCCCTACAGTATGATTTATATTAACAAAACAATAGCTTCTTCTCTGTAGGGGAAATTTGTTAAAAACAGCAGTTTTCGCTGCAGCATGAAAAAAGTTTTTTTTTTAACAAAGGTTTCAATGTGCGAAATAAGCCAAATATGTATACAACATTTATTTTCCTAAGAGTTATGAAACTCCTTACACATCCACACTTAGGTACTAGTCCTTGGGATTTGGTTGACAAAAATAACAACTTTTGGAAAACTGTACTTAATTTAATATTTTACACAAAGATCAGCACAGGATTTCACCTCGCTTGCTGCAAGAAGGTAGACTGATTTGTTGCACAGCCTGGGCAAGTGTGTAGAGTATCGTGAATGAACATATCACACTCCAGACAGAACACTCTACTGCATGTCTCACATTGGTAGACCTACACATACAAACGCAAACAATGAGGATACAAGATACCTAAATCAGTTTGTCAATAGTATATTTCACTACTAGTAACTAAACTAACCAGTTTTTTCAGTAAGCAAATACTAGTGTTAAACTTCTCTTCAACGGAACTATAGTCTAGTGAATGTTACTTTTCACAATGGTGCATAACTTTTGACAAAACCAGAATATTCTTGAGTTATATGGGTGCTTTATACAAAATTCAGCGACCTATTTATCCACCAGGTGAGCCTGCATGTAATCCTAACACAATTCCTACTAATGATTTCTGATAATTTACAATAGCCTTGGTTTTGAGGATAGCTGTGAAGATAGCAAAGTTACTTAAATAGGAAGGTTTATTTTAAAAGACAGCCAAGTGGCTGAGTAGGATTTTCTTTGCAGGTGAGAGTTTAGATAGCTTACTTGACAGAGTCCAGCCGCTAATAAATACACAATATAAAGTCATAAACATAACATTGATACTTCTTCAGAGAGAGGTCAAAGTATTGTGAGCTGTTATGAGTAGACTGTGGTCAGACGCTCGTCTCAACTTTGCATGGTTAGTTGTGTTTGTTGTAACAAAATTAACTATTACCCATTTAATTAAGCCTGCGTTCCCAACAACAACCCTTATCCACACAAGGTACTCACATATTTATCCCTGTCGCTGAACTTGTGCCGACAAGCGTAGCAGTGAGGCTCGCTAGAGTTGGTAGCGTTCTCTTGTCTAAAGGCGGTGACGGGGAACAGATGGTGGTAGGAGCGAGCGAGATGCGGAGCTGAGACGAGCGTAAGGCCGCAGACTCGACATTCTGTAGGTAGCTCGCAATACTTGCTGCGGCACTGCGGGCAGCAGTAGCCTCCACTCTTGAGCTTACTGGCGTCCGACACACTGTCTATGTGGCTGTAACAAACACATTCTCATGTAGTTTTTTACAAATAATCACAATACTTAGAGAAGAACAGAGTTATATAATGAAGGTAGAGGTGGAGTAGTTGAGGACAGCTTTTAAAAGAGAGAGTGAAGACAACACTGGGTTAATATGGTTTGGACATTATGGTGAGGCCTAGTCAACGCTCAGACCGAGTAATAAATAACCTAAACTAAAGAAGACATGTACACTTTGTGGCTTGCAAGCAAAATATCCTGAAGAGAGTCAACAATTGTCTTTTGTTAGTGACAAGTAAGGATACTTAATAAGCAAAGCCTATGTGAGCCTGACTAAAAAAGCACAGCTCCATGGTCTACTTCTTTCTCTAATCCTGACATAAGGACGGGACAGAGGCCATCTCCAAAACAAAATGTCCTCAAATACTTAAACTTATTCGACCAAAAATGAACTTCAAACAAAGTACATACCACATGCACATGCTGAGTGATGTGGTACGGCCGTCAGTGGTGTCGTGGTGGGGGAAGCCCATCTTGATGAGGCTGGCCTCCTGACTGTTAGCCACTGAGGCCGGTGGAGGTTCTACATGTGTAAACAGCAAGTCTCGGAAGTGTCTATCATCCAGCACTACTCCGTAAACTCCACCAGTATCCTTACACAAAGCCGTGCAGATCCGTACCTCCGCTGCCAGCCCGATCACTGATACTCGGATGTTTTGTGACTTCAGCATCTAAGGAGAGATATCGGAAGCTTAGGTTTGCA